CTACTATCTACTATCTATTATCTACTATCTCCTATCTACTATCTACTGTTTACTAGCTACTATCTACTACCACCTACTACTACTACTACTACTAATAATAATAACAATAATAATACTACCGGCAAGGAATCATGATGATATCGAAGATAATGACAAAATAGAATACTAATTCTATCTCTAGTGCTAAGACTAATACCAATACTGACCCTACGACTCCGACTACGACTACGATTACGACTAAAACTACGACTGCGACGATGACGACGACGACGAGCCATGAAGTGTCATGTGAAGTAACCTCTGCACGAACATTTCCGACGAACCTCCTTTCATCGCTTCGCTCATTCCCCAAGGAACATTTTCAATCTTTCTGTAGTTTCAGAAATTTCATGCAAAGTCAGGGTGCCCTTAGTTTCGGGGGTTCGAGTTTCGGATCGGCTGCCGGTGGTTTCGGCCCACAGGAGGATAGTTTCGGCGCAGCGGGAATCAGTTTAAGGATACGGGTTTGTCAGTTTCGGGGGGCGAGGTGAGCAGTTTCAGTCCGATTCTTGCAGGCCTGGGCGTAAAACTGACCATGGCGTGAGACCCAAACTGAGCATTTCCGGATCCGAAACCTTCCCGGACCATGTTCCGAAACTCCACCCCGATGCTCAGCACCGAAACTAACCTCGAAAACCCTGAAACTTACAACTTCCTGCAAAGCCGGGGCTATTTGGGTTTTCATAGAGTCAACGAACATGAGATGTTGGAAAACATGCAACGCAAGCTTGCAGTGACCCCTGCAGTCTGTCAGACTTTCACGTGTGAGAAGGTGTCGAAGGTTGGAAGATAGCTGCGTCTCGTCGCAGCAGTTGCTTGATTGAACAAGCCACCAAAGAGAGTGCGCTAGGAATACGTGGGACATTTGTGATAAATACAGCATTTGGGCAGGCCAACACGACATGGCATCTTGCAAAACGTGTAGAGATCAAGGCCAAGGCTCCGAAGGAAGCGTTGGGCTCGCTTTGCACAAGACTCCCTCGACTCGCGAACCATATCTTGGTGCCATATTCCATCATGAGACGTCGAGATGCGGGAGAAATCTACCTGGCAAGTTCAAGGGCAGGAGGCATCTGGCATGGATAGAAACACCATTGCTCTCGTGTGCCTGAGGGAACTCCGCCTTTAGCTCTTCAATGGGGCGGCGCGAGTTGTGTGCCGATGCTGAAACCAGCTCGCGCAGTTCCTGTGCATGGAGTACATTCATTGCAGTCTTTGCGCCACATCGCAACGCAAGTGCAGCAGCGCGAAGCTTCCTCGAGAGCCAGAACACAACCAATCTTCGGCCGGAAGGCCAGAAGGGCAGTTCTCAAGCAGCGCCTCAAAGGCGATGTTAGGACGATATCGGGCCACTCGGCATCCTCAAGCCACAGACTGTTGCCAGTCGACGAGGGTAATTCCACCTTTCCAACGGAATGCCTTTTTTGGACAAGGGACTTTCTCCAGTGTCCGCGCAATGCCCTCTGCCTGTTCCTCGCCACATTTTGTCAGCCTGCCAAGACCCTGCTCAGGCCGCTGGCAGAGCAGGCGAAGTTAGCAAGTTCTTGCCTGGCCTTGAATCCACATGTTGTGGCCCAGATCCTCCTTGTGCCAATGCCACGTTGTGCTCTGCCTGGCCATGTCGAACGAAGTGCACCATCCTGGATCCCATTGGCCTCTCACCTGCAGCTGTGCTTTGCTTTGAGATTGATGCAAGAAACCCTTCTAATGTAACCAGGTAACACTGGTCATACGGCAGAACACGCACCGGCAATGGTGACAGAACCTGACCTACCCACGTCACATGCACGAACAAACCTCACAAAGCCATGCAGGAGACACCTCATGCACAGTGCTCCAGGCCTCCATGCTGCACCACCAGCGGAAGCAATAAACAGCACAAACAAAGCTTCACTCCTTGGCAGAGCGATCTTCCCTGGATCGACGAAATGAAATGAGAAGCCGAAGACCCATCATGTCATAACAGGGCAAACAGATGGTCGAGCTTCGATTGGCCATGTCTTCCCTTCGGCATCTCTGACTTTTCTACTCGACGTGCTTTGCTTGGGCGTCTATGCGTGTGAGGCTTGAGAATGAGAAATGCAGCAGACGGGCCGACGGGGCAGGGCACAAGCACCAAGGGGACCAAGGCGGCAAGTCGCCAGCTCAGGAGGTCCTCGTGCGGGACAGGGCTGCCGGACGCCGCGCTGTACCATTGACCAGATTCTTCGGGAACGGGAAGCTGCAGCCAGGACCGCAAGCACAGCGGCATTCACATCACTCGTGCAGCATTCATCAGAAAAGCTGAGGGCTGCACTCCTGCAACTGCCAAGCCTATGAAGCAAGCTAGTGCCTTTGGAAACACGCCTGGATGGAACATTGCCCGTCATCAGCAGCCAACAGCTGCGAAATGCACAAATCAGCAACTGGCAGGCACTCCTCTCGCCCGAGAAGTTCTACGACCTACATCTCATGAAGACTTACATGAGGAAAGTTACAGCGGAGTTCCTGCTGGGGGGGCCGCAGGATGTGCTCAACGGCGGAAGCTTTTGCGTCACAACACTCTCGCTACCTCAGCGACGAGCACCCGGCCCGTTGCTTTCAGCGCATCTATGTTTTCGGCTCCCGATTGGATGACGGCCTACGTTTCTTGTTCACAAAAAACCGGGCCTTAAATCTGCAAATCTCATGAACACAACATTCTGGCATTGAACTGCGTCCTTCTTGCCTTGAGTGCACCAGGGAAACTGTGCCCTTCTTCCTGTCCTCGCACCTTGCTTTGGTTCAAGCAGGCGGCAAAGACAGGACATCATGAAGTGGTTCTTGCTGGAGTCTTGCTTGTCCTTTGGCCGCCACCTGGCACATGTACTCGGATCCCACAATCTCCACGGCTTCCAACCGACAAGCTCGTTGGTGGCACTGCAAATCACTGCAAGTCTCAAGTCGTCCAATTTGCACAGTGCTCCAGGACTGTTTCAGAAGGGCAGGACCGGCTTCTGCACGATGTGCACGCCAACACCTTGAGGCAGCTTGTGGTTGGCGGTCCCGAATGAAGGATGAGACCGCAGACCTTCGGGAGAACTCGAACCATGACTCGTCGCGGTCGCTGGGGCCAGAGATCCTCCAGAATCCCGCCGATGCCTTCACTGCAGCAGAGGTCGCAGCTCTGCGATTCTGGGACGGACGTCTTGTCTTCGGGCTCACCTCTTACTCTTGCAATTGTCCCGAATGACTGCGAATCGGATGATGGCCTCAGGCTGCCAGGGAGCCTGTGCATCTAACCACGAAGGAGATGATTCTGCCCCGACATGTTCCAACCAGTAGTGATAAGTTGCCACACTTACCCTGCATCGATGCAACTGTTCCTCATCACGCGTTAGTGCCGGATTCTGGTTTGAACTTGCGTCGTGTTCAACAGCTTGAAACACGCTTGTTGTCCTTTCGCTGAAGTTGACTTGAGCTCTGCTGCCATGCGCCCCACCAGTTGTTGGAGCTAGCAGGTTCCCGTCAAAGGTTTTTCCATCGCGAGTAGCCTGCAGATCTGAATAAGCGGAGAGCCCAGGCTCTGCTAGAAGCGGAAGTGTTTGTGACTGGGTGGAGGTGGGGGCGGCGGTCGGCTCCGGATTGCCTGGCTCTGCTCCCGTGAGTCTTCGGGAAGAGACTTCAAAATCTCCTGGCATTGTCTCAGAGTTTCCTGGATGTCAGCGGTGCATGGCGCGATCACTGCAACCAGACGACCTGACGTCTCAAACGGGCGGCAGCTGAGTCGAAGACCACACAAGGCAAGCTGTTGCTGAGGTAGCGCCCGAATCACGAAAGTTTGATTAATGTGCGTCTCAGCCCATGCATGTTCTCCTGCATAGCAAGAGAGCGTGGGCATCGAACGCTCCTGACCCCGATGGTTGTACCAATGAGCTGCAAAGCCGAGACCTCCCAAGAGCTCCGCAGTTGCTCCGAGGGCCAAAATCACACGGTCGTCCTCTCCCGCGCGGCCATGGGAACCCCATCGGCTCCGGCCACTTCCCTGGCGAGTTGCCCAGGCCACGCAGTCTTCAGATACCAGCTGGCAGTAGTTTCTGGGATAAAGGACAAGTCTCAGCTTGGGGAGCCCGCTTTGGCTCGGAAGCTCGAGCCTTGGATCTGGCCATTAGCCTTTCTAGAATTAGAGCTCTGCTCAGGACCAGGCTGAAAAGCAGGCAAGGCACACGTCACAGTCAGTCGCTGCGGGGACTCGCTGCGGAAGAGACATGCTCGCCGTTCTCTCGGCATCCGTCACTTCGAGAGACATCACTGCCCGGATCATCCTTACTTGACTGTTATTGATCCACGAGGCCATTTTCGCTGGGTGGGTTTTTTTTTGCACAAGGCCTGGATGGCCAATATCACCGCTTCAGGTTCCAAATACTCGCAAGACAACATCTTCTTCAAGGCAATAAAGCAAACAAGTGCCGTGGCCCTGCATCGATCCCTATCACAACTAAAGCCGGCCAGCTATAGGTAGTGGACCACCGAGTCTCTCTGCGGAAGGTTCAGCTTCTGCAGGGATCTGCCAGTGATTGTCGCTGCCTGACGGGCCGCTCACACTGAGTCGGCAACTGCGGGCCAGTACACTGCCTTCACCGGTCTCCAAGCGGAAACCGAGTGCAAGAAGAGCCTGCTCAAATGACAAAGCGGTAAAGCACCACCGCTCATGGGGCAATGCAGGGCAAACTGGCCAGTGCCTCGGCCGCCAGATTGTAGCTGCTGCTCGTGCGCGACCGGACTGTCTCATCGCGCAAGCGTCGGAACTTCGAACGAGCCTCAAAAGCGGAAGAACAAAACAGCGAGGCAAACGCGCAGCAGAGGGGCCTCACTGCTCGGCTCCGAGATTGAAAGATTCTTTGCGACCGTGACAAGCAGTTTGCGCATAGCCTCAGCATGCGCGCTTCAAACACTTTGCAAAAACGCACCTCGGCAACCTCCCACTGGGAAGGCAACGTCCGGAGCTGATGCGAGGCTCTGGAGAAACCGATCCTCGAACACAGCGAGTATGCACAAAGCCTCACGGATGAAATCTGCAACCTTCCGGCAGCTGGCCACATACGGCCACGGCATGTCGTTCTTGAGCTGCCGCGCCTGGTCGCTTTCCGCATTGACGCCCAGGCTGAGAAGAATAGCCTGCCCGAGTGGCAACAGCTTCAAAAAAGTGAACTTTCTGGCCGACGCCTGCTGAAGCTCAGCATCGTCTTGCTCCATAGTCTATAGTATTCAGACTTGCTTGTGCAGGACGAGGCTACAGCGAGAAAGGTGCACAGCTGCACCTGCACCAACGCCTTTGAGCCAGCATTTCGGAAATTCGAAAGAATTCAGCACCCAGATCTCGTGAATACCCCGGCACAGCATGTTAATGGCAGCGTGATCCAAACAAACCGCGACCACAGCCAAAGCATCTTTGACTCCAGGGGATCTACCCTCGTGCACCCAAGCTGCTTTTGAAGCAGTGGGATGATGTTCGACGTTGAAAGCAGAAGTCTGAATGCTCAGGGTACTCCAACAATCCCGGGATGTCTCAGGGATACTCTTTCGATTCCTTGCCGCCTCGTGCTTTTCCAGCTTCTGCTCATTTGGTCATGTGGCGAGGCTTGCAAATGCCTTCGAAGTGCAAGGACCCAGCAGTTCACAGGCGGAGGAAGTCTCCTCCTTCAGCTTGCACGCTCCATTGAAAACGATGACCTGAGCTGCGGCTGTCACATTGCTCTTCGGGTTTAGGGCCTAGAGTTCAGGGTTTAGGGCATCCTGCTGAAGCAGATTGGAGCCCCTGCACTACCTCACAGATGCCGCATGCCGTTTCTGTCTCACCTCTTGCCTTGATGAAGCTCGTCCAAGACACGCTGGGCTGCATATTTGCCTCGCACCCCGGATGCCTTGGCCCATTCATTCTCTCCGAAGTTTTCAACTGTGCTATTGTAGTAGGTAGCCTGATCCTCTGCAGCCGTCTTCCGCATGCTAAGCTGAGCAGAAGGCCAGTGCCTTTCAATCGAGCTGTAACGCAACTAATCCTCAGTCTGTGGATTATCTGCTTCTGCTTGTCGTAAGTGCTCACCAAGCTGCGCGCAAATCTGCTGACAGCGAGGAACTTATGGAGTGGACCAGTGGATCCGTCGCTGCTTGGCCCGCGGCCATCAAACAGTCCACACAAATGCCTGGTGGGAACCAAGCAGAAGTAGGTCTTGCCGGCGCGGGCTCGTTCTGTCGAGAAGAAACCCCCCTTACCTAACGCACAAAGGACTAGAACTGACCATGGTGCCGTGAAGCACTAGTCACAGGTGGTTGCACAAGTTGACAAGACGATCACAAGAAAGTCAGCAATCACTGGTCACAGAAGTACTTTGCAATTGTGTATGAGCGAGTCACAGGATTTCTTTCCGTGCTCGATGTGCACCAGCTTTGACCTCATTATTCGACCGACCTACTGCCATGCTCGCGCAAATTCGATGCGCTCAGTCTCCTCAATGCGTGCAGAAACTAAACCGGCGATCTTGATTGAGTACAACGCCGAATCGATGCTGCTCCGTTTACACCCTTAAATGTACGACTACACACATCCAAAAACAAAAATCCCAGCGGCTGGAAGTCCGGCAGTCGCGGCAATGCACGGTCAGCGCGAAAGCCATGCCGCATCCTCCAGGAGACTACTGCCTGAAGCGGCCAGCTCTTCAAAAATTATTTGACTGTTCGTTGCCGTGCAAGGTTGTGTTAGGGCCGTATGTGCACGCCGTGCGGTGGAGTTGCATGTGTGCAGAAGGCCCATTCCAATCTTAAGTAGCTCTTCGGGTGCACAAAATGCAGCAGGAACTGCGAGAATGAAACTTCAGTCCCGGAAGATCCATGTTGCTAGGCACTGTCCCTGCATGCACGTGCAACAACAATCTTCCAGAAACTGCACATGAACAGCCGAAGGCTTGGAGTTAAAGCTCCTGGTTGCAACGAACACACATGAAACGACTTCCTGAGTTACTCTTGATCGATTTGGCTGGAGG